CTGAGGTCAGGATTTCAAGACCAGCCTGGCCAACATGGCGAGGCTGCATCTCTACGAAAAATACAAAAATTAGCCAGGCGTGGTGGTGTGTACCTGTAATCCCAGCTACTCGGGAGGCTGAGGCAGGAGACTTTTGTAAACCCAGGAGGCGGAGGTTGCAGTGAGCTGAGATCACACCATTGCACTCTAGCCCGGGGGACAGTGTGAGAATCTGTCTCAAAAAATAAGAACGAAAAATAACAATGAGAAAATGTAAATGAGCCAAATGTGCATTATGAGGAAGGATGGGATACTGGCTTGACTCGGTGAGGAAATGTGAACACAAATGTTCCTGCAAGAACACAAAGATGACACACACACACTCGACAATGAGCAGACAATAGGTTATATCTCTAAGGAGCTATGTCACACGGTGCTTTAAACACAGAGGTGAAATGAAGACAAAAGAAAGATGGAGCCTGGGGCAGGTGCTTAGCTCAGTTCAGGCCTGGCACACCCTCTTCCCCATTTTGCCCGTCTTAGCTGGATCTGTTTTCTCCTCAGAGGCCCACAGATGAGACCTTCGAGGAACAGAGCAAGATGAAGTCTGAAGTAGTTTTCCACAAGACCTCTGGGTGATCCCTGAGTCTTCAGTTGTTCCCCACATTCAAAAGAGGCCACAGTTTCCCTTCACAGAAGCTGGGGGGACAGATGCAGTGCTGCCTCCCACACTCCAGATTTCTCAGGACACAGAGAGCTACCAGGGGTGTGGAGGGGGCATTTCGAGCAAAAAGAAGGCTGGAGTGGAGGGAACAATAGTGTCCCTACTCATTTCCACCTGCCAGTCACAGTCCACACCCACTGCCAGGCACCTACTGCAAGTCACCTACCAGCATCCACCTTCCCCTCCAGAGAAAGCCCAAGGCTTGGAAAACGTGTTTCACAGAAACCCATCAACCCAGTTCCCAAACGATCTAGAAACCCAACAGAGGTAGGAACCACTGCCAGCATTGGAACTGGAGACAAGGAAGGTGAACGCTGAAGAAAACAAAACTCTCAGTTGTTTTAAAAAAGAACTGGGCTGGGATCAGTGGCTCATAAGTGGATAATAAGTGCCTGTTATCCCAGCACTTTGGGAGACCGAGAAGGGAGGATCGCTTTGAGTCCAGGAGTTCGAGACCAGCCTGGGCAACATGGCAAAACTCTGTCTGTACAAAAAATTTAAAAATTAGCCAGGCGTGGTGGTACACGCCTGTAGTTCCAGCTACTCAGGAGGCTGAGATGGGAGGATCACTTGAGCCCAGGAGGTGGAGGCTGCAGTGATCCATGATCACACTACTGTACTCCAGCCTGGCCAACAGAACAAGACCCTGTCTCTCTCTCTCTCTCTCTCTCTCTCACACACACACACACAACCCTAGATGTTGGGAAACCAACAAGATCAGATTCCAACTGTGTCACACGCAGGGAAACGTATAGCCACATTCCCCCAGGCCAAAATAGAAACTGATTTCCAGAACGTGCATTTCACTCAATTGGTTTCACTGTGGGGGTCGTCCTCTCTCCCTGATGGGTATCAAGATTTGGCTGAACTTACATCATCTGAGGAACGTTACATCATTTCATCCCTGTCTAGAGTTCAAGGTTACCAGGAAGTGAGATAAAATTTGACTCCTGACTCCTGGGCGAGTATCCAAAACCAATCTACATAAAACCCCTTGGCCGCCCGGAATTCCTCCTGCTTAGACATGCCGGGACATGCAAGGCTCTGCCAACTCCAGCCCCCTGGCCTCCGTTTTGAGACCCCCCCACCACCCTGCTAAGGGAACAACAAACTCGTTCCGGCACCAAAACCTTGAAGCTCCAGGCCAGAAGTGGGGGGGGCGGGTTTCCGCTGCTGTGGAGTTTACATATTAAAAAAGAAAAGTCAAAAGCAGACAAAATCCGCCTTCCCACAGATGGCCCTGGTCTCCATGGCGACAGCTCATAGCTCGGTGTTGAAAGGACCACGACCCCCATGGCCACATCTGGGGCAGCAGTCCCACCCCGTCGCCTGGCCACCGACCCCATGCCTTAAGCAAGGGGGCCTCATTTTTGGCCCTAAAACCAAGACATGCCATCTTAAGTCCAGTTGTTTTTTTGAGACAGAATCTCGCTCTGTCACCCAGGCTGGAGTGCAGCCGTGCAATCGCAGCTCACTGCAACCTCTGCCTCCCGGGTTCAAGCGATTCTCCAGCCTCAGCCTCCCAAGTAGCTAGGACTACAGGCATGCATCACCACGCCCAGCTAATGTTTATATTTTTAGTAGAGACGGGGTTTCACCATGTTGGCCAGGCTGGTCTCAAACTCCTGATCTCAAGTGATCCACCCACCCTGGCCTCCCAAAGTGCTGGGATTACAGCCATGAGCCACTGCGCCCAGCCAAGCCCAGACATGGCATCTTAAGTCCAATTTTCAGGGCAGGAGGCAATAGTGGCCTCACCCCGGCATGGGGGGAAAAAGACACTTTTGTTGTTGGCTAAAAAGCCTGCATTTTCACCAAAGGGAATATAAATTACTCTGTGCACAAACTAGCACTATTGGTTTAAAAAAAAAAAAAAGAGAGAGAGAGAAGAAAGAAAGAAAAAATTATGCCATATCCCACGGTAGCCCCAGAAAGGGCCAGGCTGTTGAGCACAGGTCAAGGTCGAGGACTCAGTGAGAGGCTTTTAAATTTGGTAAAAGCCAGTCTTGGATACAAAGTGAATTCCGAAATTCCTTCACCAACAGACAGGAAAGCAGGTGAACACGTGGCTCCAGCTGTGGTATCGCAGCTCATGGACCCACCAGACCAAGATTCTCCCTGGGCATCTGGACCCCTCAGGCTGGCCTCCCTGGTCACGGCAGCTGTGTCCCCAGATGCAGGGAGGAAAATGGGAGCAAAGAAAATTTTCAGCCACTTCCCTCACATCAACTGGAGCTTTTGTAGAGAAGGAGGAAGAGGAGATGGGCAGATCAGAATCTCTCTTCCAGATCGGATCCCCAAGTTGAAGAGCTTGTCTTTTCCTGGCCACACCCCAGAGGGTGGATGTCCCCTCGTGGGGTCCCCAGCAGGATGAGGTCTTAGGAGACCTGAGCGTTCCTCAGTGTTTGTGGCAATAGTTGATTTTGCCCTCTGACTGCTCCAGGAGGTCCAGCATCTCCTCGATGATGGCTCTCAGTGCCCTGCCCAGCTGGTCTGCGTTGTACGGCTTCCCCAGAGGGGGCACGTGGACGAAGGCTGATCGACCGTGACTCTGGTACAGAGAGGTGTAGTACGTAAAGTCGCAGAGATATCTAAGCCACAGGACGTGGCGGGTAAGAGAGAGACCAAAACGGGGTCAGAGGGGCAATCCGCAGACCAAAGTGATAGCACTCATCCAAACTCAAGGGAAGACCCCAGTCTCACCAGCCACCCACAGGATGGAATAACGCTCTCCTCCCTCCCCAGGTTGGCAAAGATGAAAAAAATCACCAGGGGTGGTGGTGCGTGCCTATAGTCCCAGCTACTCAGGAGGTGAAGGCGGGAGGACTGGTTGAGCCCAGGAGGTCGAGGCTGCAGTGAGCCCTGATTGCACCACTGCACTCAGCCTGGGCAAGAGAGTGAGACCCTGTCTCTTTTAAAAAAACAAAAAACAAAAACAAAAAACTTGATAATTCCCAGTGCTGTGGCACATGTGGGGAAATGGGCAGAGTGAGCTGTTGCTGGTGGGAATGAACGCTAGTTATCCCCATGTGGAAGGCAATTTGGCAGGCTAGTAAAATTATAATCACCCAGGCTTTACAACCTGGTATTTCCATTTTTTGTTTGTTTATTGAGACAGGGTCTCACTCTGTCACCCAGTCTGGAGTGCAGTGGTGCAATCACAGCTCCCTGTAGCCTCAAACTCCTGGCCTCCAGCGATCCTCCTACCTCAGCCTCCTGAGTAGCTGCCAGTACAGGTGTGCACCATCACCACCGGCTATATTTTCTGTTTTGTTTTTTTGAGACAGAGTCTGGCTCTGCTGCCCAGGCTGCAGTGCAGTGGCACAATCTCAGCTCAATGCAACTTCTGCTTCCTCAGCTCAAGCGATTCTCCTGCTTCAGCCTCCCGAGTAGCTGGGATTACAGGCGTGGACCACACCACATCTGGCTAATTTTTGTATTTTTAGTAGAGACAGGGTTTCACCATGCTGGGCAGGCTGGTCTGGAACTCCTGACCTTGAGTGATTCACCTGCCTCGCCTCGGCCTCCCAAAGTGCTGGGATTACAGGCATGGGTGACCACCACAGGGAGTGGCTTAGTAAACTCTGGTTTATCCACACCATGGAATCCTATGAAACCATTTACAAGGAATGCGGTACAGCCAGAAAAAAATGGAGAACTCGCCAGATGCATGTTTTGGTTTTTTTTTTTTTTGAGACAGAGTTTTGCTCTGTCACCCAGGCTGGAGTGCAGTGGTGCGATCTCGGCTCACTGCAAGCTCCGCCTCCTGGGTTCACGCCATTTTCCTGCCTCAGCCTCCCCAGTAGCTGGGACTACAGGTGCCCGCCACCACGCCCAGCTAATTTTTTGTATTTTTTTTTTTTAGTAGAGACGGGGTTTCACCGTGTTGGCCAGGATAGTCTGGATCTCCTGACCTTGTGATCTGCCCGCCTCGGCCTCCCAAAGTGCTGGGACTACAGGCCTGAGCGACTGCGCCCGGCCAACCAGATGCATGTTGAATGTTCACAAATGAAAGCTGAGGAAGATAATTGTCAGTAAAGTGTGACTTTCGCCGTGTGACTCCATCCACATAAAAGCAAAGCAAAACAAGACAAAATCGTAAAGCAGCAGGCCAAGTGATGTATATATGTACAGAAACATGTCCGTCAGTAGGAACTTCATGGTTTCAGTGTCTGACTTATCAGAGGGACCACTATGGAAAAAGAGAGGGAATGAGAATTTTTCCCAATTAGACATATGAGGATACGTTCTAGAGTTACCTGTAATTAAAAATTAATTTTATAAAGAGACTGATGGAAGCTGGGTATGGTGGCTCACACCTGTCGTCCCAGCACTTTGGGAGGCTGAGGTGGGAGGATCCCTTGAATCCAGGAGTTCGAGACCAGCCTGGGCAACATTGCAACACCCTATCTCTATCAAAAATACAAAAAAATTGGGCTGGGCAGCCAGGCGCGGTGGCTTACGCCTATAATCCCAGCACTTTGGGAGACCAAGGCAGGTGGATCACCTGAGGTCAGGAGTTCAAGACCAGCCTGGCCAACATGCTGAAACGTCTCAACTAAAAATACAAAAATTTTCTGGGCATGGTGGCAGGCACCTGCAGTCCCAGCTACTTGGGAGGCTGAAGCAGGAGAATCACTTGAACCTGGGAGGCAGAGGTTGCAGTGAGCTAAGATTGTGCCATTGCACTCCAGCCTGGGCAATAAGAGCAAAACTCTGTCTTCAAAAAAAAAAAAAAATTGGGCT